TGTCGAAATACCGAGACGCAACTGAGAGATGATAAGTAAACGTGTACCTACTCAAAAAATGTAATTTGTATTTACTCAACCCCACCACGAAGTCAGGTTGTGACACAAGTTTGGTTTAATGTGAGGAGTCCGAGCGCATACACCCGGGCTAGGAACAAAAAGTCTCCGAGCCCCCGCAACCGTCGTTTGCGCTGGCATGGGTGCGTGCACCGATCCCTCTCTCTAGAGCAATGAGATGGCGCGGCCTCGGGCAGCTGTTCTTCAGGACCGGAACCTCTCAGTATGATTTTCTTCAGTTGCGACTCTGTCCTTTGACAGAGTTGCCCCTGAGTGCACTCTGCCGAAAGACTGAGACGCAACTGAGGGGATGATAAATAATGTCTTCACTTATAAATACCCCAGACGAATTATTTATAACATTGACATACAATTCAATGAAAACTAATCACAAAACTACACAAGATTCATAAGATCATTTTTTCATTACTGTATAAACAATATTACCATGCTGTATGAAATTAAAATTTACTCCCCTGTCCGGTTTGAAATGACTATGGTAATATTCGCATGGAAATTTCGGGACGTGATATTTTGAATACATTTAAGTAGTCCCCAAACATTTCTAGCTGCTTCCCCTCTGGCTCCCGGTTCACACCCCGAGCCGCCACCACCCTACACACACACCCATATGAAGACAATTCTTTCTTGATATTATGACTTTCTTGGCAAATTCAAAACAATCTAACACAGTAAATGTGCATGTACATTTCGGCTTTTCTTAGATGGCATTTGGTGAAATGTCGCCAGGCGAAAATCCTTGGCTATATCGCTACACGTACAAACCTAGAGCGTTGACCCCTTCGGACGTTAGCTGTCTAATCTGGCTGATGTGTGGCACTTCCTATCCAGATAACTTCGGTAAGATACAAACAAAAATCTGGATTTATAACTTCGAGCAGTAAAATAAAATACAACCATGAATTCTGTATATTAATTTTATTCTTTGTAAAGTATACATGTTCCGTAAGTGGAAGTGAATTTTGTCATATCTTTTTACTATGTGTCGTGTCCCTTCAAGGCGTTTGGTGATCATGGTTCTCCAGAAGTTCCTTTTCTTTGTAGCTCTTAATAAACTGTTGGAATTAAGGAATGTCGTTCACCTGAATATCTTCCATGAAAATAACGATAGAATAGCGACAGATTGTCTTTGGGAAAGTGACTGTAGAGTGGAAATTAATTCATCACCTACTAGGAGGCACGGTGGAGTAATGGATAACTTTGAATTCAAACCCGGAGTGGAGTCCCTAAGGCGGATGGACGGCACTTTGTGCTACCTTCCAGCAACTGCTGCAGCCGCGCTGGTACCAAACTGTATTGGTTTAACCTCTCCTTTGGACTCTGCTAGAAAAGCCGAGAGGGGCCTAGATGTCCGGGCAGCCCTAGTTCTCCATATATATCCCGCCCAGGCTTGTAGTGCACTGGAGAGCCTAGCACCTACAGCGCTTATGTGCTAATCGTCGTCGTCATCCGTCGGACGGATGACGACGACGATTAGCACATGAGTGAATGTAATGGATTCGACTGTAATTCGAACTCGGCTCTCTGATTCCTCAGTCTGAGTCGATATCTATTACTTCACTTCATCTTCTTGAAACCTGTCGCATTTTGTCCTTTCCGCAATCCTCCCCATTTTCATTCATTTTCACTCCCTGTATACCCCCTTCTTGCATTCTAGTGGCATTGTCGCCTTGCTTGGGATGAAATGTGTAAAAGAAATATATTAGTTAAGTGAAGGCGCATTACTTGTAACAAATGCTATCTCATTGCCACAGTAACACAATATTTTGGAGATAAAAATAAACAGACTAAGTACTTGCTTTTTGGTTGAGACATGTCAGCATCTAGTTGGACCGTTTGGGAATATCAGTTGCTGTATGCTTAGATGTAAGAATGGTGTAATGGAATAATGGTTCGGAATTGGAAATCGAATAGACGAGCTCTAATTCCAGTCGGGTTCTTTATATTCTCTATATTCAGTTACACGCAAATACGATATGAATCCACCTCTTCTCCCTCCAGCTACAGGTTAATTAGTAAATTGTATTAGTAAATTATTATCCCCCAAAATTCTTACAATTTAAAATTTCTTACAATTTAAAAATATATTGTGGCTTTAAATAACCTGCAAAAGGTTGATAAGCCGTAAAAAAAAAGACGGAAAAAAATCAATCACAACTGTTGGGTACCGAATATAAGATGCGAGGATGTTTATTTTTTTTTATATATATATATATATATATATATATATATATATATAATATATATATATTGAAAGAAATTTCCGTTTCCCCACCCACAGGAGCTTATTAAGAACTCTCACTTTCTCAATCAATCCCCGTAGACCCCACAGCTCTCAACGCAAAAGGCTTTATTGGTGTAGTTTCCGTTGGAAGTAGGGTTTTATGGAATGGAGTTGCTAATCCAGTGCCGAACCGCTTTTAATTCAGTTTTCCTTCTACTGAACTGTTTGCCAACCAAGTCTAAAGTGCCCGTTCTACCTGACTATTTAACCCATATTTGAGAGGAGAATGGATTCCTACTTATCACAAGCGTGCGAAGGTGAATGCAGCGAAGTCGACTCTAATTCAAACTCGTCACTATGGTTTCTTTGTTCCGACCTTTTAACCATTACACCATATGCATTTCTATTAAAACAACTGTGTTTATTAATTCCGCACTTTTTACCAGAGCTCAAACAGGAAACAGGGATTATTATGGTTGGCACAAGTTTTTAGTTGCACACATTTATGATTGCATTGTTTAAAAAAATAGTAGTCCATTGTTATTTTTTATTCCTTCCAGAATTATTAAATTTCATTTTTTGATCATTTTAATCGAATATTTTTAATATAATATAAATGTTTGGTTTGGTTTGGCTTTGATATATCCCGGAAAGGGATATATTTGTTCGAAGTAGCAAAATGGTTTTGGACTATTGTAACCGAGTAGGACAATCTAGCAGGTAACCATAATGGACTGGTCCTCGTCGTAGTGGTAGGCAATAGGCGTAGGCAATAGGCGTAGGCCAATAGGCGTAGGCCAATAGGCGAAGACAATAGGCGTAGCCCCACATCAGTCTGTATTTATGGCTGACACCAGCCAATCATATTACTATGAGAGGGAACCCAGGTGTATGCATATTCATTACATCAGTTTTACAGCATATCAACCTCAATGGGTTATTTAATGCCGGCAAAATGTTCTTTGTTGGTAATATTTTTTTCCAAAAATCTATTTCTGGTAATATTTTTTCCTTCAAAAAATCCGTCTCTGATAATAATTTTGCTTCGCTGGTAATATTTTTTTCAAAAAATGTATAGCTGGTAATATTTTTTTTTAAATACACTGCTGGTAATATTTTTTGAAAAATGTATTGCTGGCAACAACCTTTTCACAAAGTATTTCCGGTATCAAAACCCATTTCTACACTTTCACAGTGTTCCGACCCCAGTTCGAGGGTCAACTATTTGCCCATAGCTGGGCCCTAACATGTACTATCACCCCGGGTCAGGGTGGACCTGGGAACGTCAGCAATTAAGAGGTGGTTCCACGCTCCTCAAAACCCCCTGATCAGAGATCTTGCTTTCGGGCGGAGTTTATCGTCTTACCCAGGACGATATAAATGTTTGAAAAGTTTCTTTACTTAAATTCTAAATTCTTTACACTTTAAATGATTTTTGGTCCCTCCCTTTTATTACGATTCTCCCTCGTTTATTACATATTGAGAAAAATTGTGCCCCACTTTTTTAAGCTCCCCATAACATTAAGAGACTTGAAACAACAAAAATCAGGTTCTACAGAACAATTCCGAGAATATCATAGACCGAAAATATTAGCAACGACGAAGTTTTAGAGAAAATGGAAACAAAAAGGAAACTTATACTTAACACCAGGAAGAGATCGTTGAAATTTCTAGCCCTCTTTCTTCATTATGATGAGGAAAGAGGGCTTAGAAAATCTGATACTCACAGATTGAAGACAAGTGGGAGAGAGGAAAACAACGCATAACCTAGCTAGCGAGCTTGTGTAAATGGATGGCAGAACAACGTTTAAAAGAAATAATAAAAAAACAAAAAAAAAGAGCTGCAAAGGACAATAAATTGTGGAGAGCCGTGATCGCCTACATTCGGAAAAGACATAGCACATAAAAAAGTAGCATTAGGAGTATCTAAGAGAATTTCGTCAACAGAGCACATATGATGACGCACTCGCACAGACACACGCATGCGCAAACTCCTAAAAATGGCTACACCAGCAAAAAAAAAAAAATAAGCTTTCTTTTCATTTTTATATCAATAATGCAAAAACAATGCCTGCCGGAACTTGTCTTTTTATTGCGTGGATAGAAATAAAATCTTACAGCTAATTAAGTTAAAATAAAAACAGGTTTCAATTTCGTTATTAATGAACAGCATATTTAGCGATTTCTTTCACTATCTTTGCTATTTCTCAGATAACTTTCTAAATTTGTAGTTTTGTCCACCCGAGCCGAGTTCGCTGCATTCACTTTCGCACAAATACAATTGGAAAAAGTAAGAATCCATCACCTCTCCTCTCAGATATGGGTTAAATAGTCGAACAGACTGGACTCTTTAGACTTGGTTGGCAACCAGTGTAGGAGAAGGAATACTGAATTAAAATCCGGTTAACCATTAGGCTAGTAACTCCATCCCGTAAAAATCTACTTGCTATCGAAATTGCAGCAACAAAGCATGAGCCTTCAGTGAGTGGGCTTAATTGGACTTTTTTTTTTATTAATAATGATTTTACTGATAATATCCTAGTGAATAACCCATAGCTGGTGAGAGAAGAGATGGATTCACACCTTTCCCAAGGGTATCTGCGCGTGAGTGAATATAATGAACCTGACTGGAATTGGAACTCGGCTCTGCGACTTACAATTCCGAGTTGTTCTCCATTACACCACCCGCACATCCAAGCTTACAGCACCTAGTATTTTCAAGCGTTTACCCATCTAGGTACTGACCAGGCTCGACGTTGCTTAACATCAATGATCGTAGGAGAACCGGTGTTTCAACGTCATGTGACCGTAAGCCTGTTCCGTCTTAGAAACAACGAAGGGAAATTGGATACAATCGACGCGGGGTAAGAAATGTTCTCTTTTATTTTTTTATTCATATTAATATTAATATTAACTCTCAGAAAATATTATTCTTCGAATACCAAAATATATTTCCGCTTTAAATAACCAATAAAGGATTGATAAGCGGTAAAAAAAAAACAATCAAGTAAATGAATTAATTAGGAAAAAACATAAGGCTATACTAAATTAAATATTTTATTATCGTTTTTTTTTTTAAAGAAAAAAGTTATCTTGCTTAATGCGAATCCACAAATTTGCCATAGTCGCTTTCTATTATTTACTTATTAAATAACTAGATTACTTACACTGATAAAATGTCATGATTATTAATAGGAGTTTTTACATGTGAGTCTTCAAATATATTTCTCCAGTTATTATTGTTGTACAATTCTCTTCCATGTAGTAAGTTTTTTTTAAATCTCGACTTCGTAGACAACTTGCCACAGTTCACCATTTTCCGAACAAAGATACCACCACTTACTATCGCCGGTGAAAGGGAGATAACCGCAACAATGTAAAATGTTCTGTACATTACAGACCAAAAATATACATATACATTTGGCGTACTACACACACACACACACACACACACACACACACACATATATATATATATATATATATATATATATATACATAGGACGAAACTAGCTGAAGAATCTAATAAAAATAATAAAACAAAAAGTATTAATATGCAACCCAGTGTGTCTGAAAACTTTAATTTTTGATTCCTCAATATTTTTATTGTTTATATATATATATATATATATATATATATATATATATATATATATATATATATATATATATAACCTGACTATTGCGTACAAATATGCAACAGACTGTCGCCGCTCGGTGTTGATCTCAGTGTTCACTTTTATATTTATATTCGTTCTATACCCAATAGCTTTAGCCCAACGTAAACAACAATTTCATTTTTAACGGGTATTATGTGTGCGTATGTGTCTGTGTGTGTGTGTCTGTGTGTGAGAGAGAGAATATCTATCTATATATATATATGTGTGTGTGCGCGCGTGTGTGTGAGTATCCACTTTCTTGAATTGTTTGTCAAAACCTCTAAGTCATCATTTTAATTAAAGCCGTCTCTAAATTGCTTTCCAATTCTCTTTCTGTATCCGCCATGATCCGTAGCTTGGCAAAGAAATCTTCTATCTTTATTTGTCAGCCATTCTTGCACTGTGTACTCACGTCGACATTCTTTCTCTCGATTTCTTCATCCTTGACGACCCAGGCAATTTGCACGACGCCACGAGACAGAAAACACCAAGGTGACACCAAATGGGTGTCAACCAAAATAGTAATGTTAGTATTCATAAAGGTACTTCTATTAATAATACTTTGTTTTTCTAATCATAATAAATAGGATTTAGTAGTAGTAGTAGTAGTAGTGAATTTTAGTTTTAGTATTAGTAGTAGTGAATTTTAGTTTTAGTAGTTGTAGTGAATTTTAGTTTTAGTAGTAGTAGTAGTGAATTTTAGGTTTAGTAGTAGTAGTAGTAGGGAATTTTAGGTTTAATAGTAGTAGTAGTAGTGAATTTTAGGTTTAGTAGTAGTAGTGAATTTTAGGTTTAGTAGTAGTAGTAGTGAATTTTAGGTTTAGTAGTAGTAGTAGTAGTAGTAGGGAATTTTAGGTTTAGTAGTAGTAGTAGTAGCGAATTTTAGGTTTAGTAGTAGTAGTAGTGAATTTTAGGTTTAGTAGTAGTAATGAATTTTAGGTTTAGTAGTAGTATTAGTGATTTTTAGTTTTAGTAGTAGTAGTAGTAGTGAAATTTACGTTTAGTAGCAGTAGTAGTTAATTTTAGGTTTAGTAGTAGTAGTAGTAAATTTTAGTTTTAGTAGTAGTAGTAATAAATTTTAGTTTTAGTAGTAGTAGTAGTGGTGAAATGTAGGTTTAGTAGTAGTGAATTTTAAGTTTCGTAGCAGTAGTAGTTAATTTTTGGTTTAGTACTAGTAGTAATTAATTTTAGGTTTATTAGTAGTAGTAGTAGTTAAATTCAGGTTTAGTAGTAGTATTCACAGGACACATTAAAGACAAAAGGGACAGAGAAAAGCAGCACATAAATTATCTAACGACCTGATGTTTGTCAGAAAAGGAATTAAGAGAGGGATAAGATAATCTTCACTCAAAGTTACAAAGGACATGAAATTGTGGAGAGGAATCCTGTTCGCCAACGTTCTGGAGGTACACGACACATTGAAGAAATTGGCCATATTTTTATTTATTTATAATAGTGATTTGAATAGTCCTTTTCATTTGTTTTTGTTTTTTTCTGTTTCATTGGAAACAAGAATCTTTTGGTACATATCACTGAATGTCAAGCAGCATTAAGTCTCCCCAAAACATCCGCACATTTAGCAGAAGCTTCAGATGCTCTTGATTATTGTCTCATCTCAAATAGATAGATATGGATTGTTAGTATTTAATGCCATTTCATAGTTGGTCGCTGCTTCAGTATGATGAACCTTACGGCCACATCACGATGAAACACATGTTTCCGTATGATCGTCAAAGTTAAGGAACGTCGAGCCCCGTCGGTACGTAGATGTGTAAATGTTACAGTAATTTACCCACGCACCCATGGACTTTCCCAGCTATAAATAGGAGCAGGTACTGCCTTTTGGAGAGGCAAGTTTCCAGCAGTCAGCTCTGACAGTCGGACCGAACATTCTTGCTGTAACACTCTCTTCTGTATATGTTTGTATTACTGTTTCTGTTAATATATTTGTTTAACACAATTCCTCTCTTTGTTGCATTATTTCTGGCCGTAACAAGGCCACAACAGTAAACTTGGATGTGCGGGTATTGTGATGGATAATGACTCGGAATTGTTAATCGGAGAGCCGACTTCCAATTCCAGTTGGGTTCGTTATATACACATACGAGCAAGTACCCTTGGGAAAGGTATGAATCCAACTCTTCTCTCCCCAACTATAGGTTAAATAGTAAGACTTGTACCACTAAGCTATTATTATCTCCAAAAAAAACCTTCAAATCAAAAGATCACCGTTCAGTGAGCAGAAACTTGAAGTCATCAACCAAGATGCTTATTGTATGTAAAGATATTTGACACGTTGTAAGGTCTGCCGTGTGCATGGAGAAAGATCACCACAGTTGTCTTGAGACTTATGATAAGTCCAAGATTAGTACAAGCACTGGTGAAAGCGTCCATATCTCCAGGCCAGATATGGCAGCAATACTCCATTTTGGGTCTGATCTGACTCTTGTAAAGATAAAGCATGGTACGATGTGTCAGGTACATTCGGGAGCGATATAATAAACCGAAACATCTCCAGCCCATATATGGCAGCAATACTCCATTTTTGGTCTGATCTGTCTCTTGTAAAGATAAAGCATGCAAGAAGGAGTCAGGTACTTTCGGGAGCGATATAATAAACCGAAACATCTCCAGCCGAGATATGGCAGAAATACTCCATTTTTGGTCTGATCTGTCTCTTGTAAAGTTAAAGCATGGAAGGAGGAGTCAGGTACTTTCGGGGGCGATATAATAAACCGAAACATCTCCAGCCCAGACATGGCAGCAATACTCCATTTTTGATTTGGTCTGTCTCTTGTAAAGATAAAGCATGCAAGAAGGAGGCAGGTACTTTCGGGAGCGATATAATGAACCAAAACATCTCCAGCCCATATATGGCAGCAATACTCCATTTTTGATCTGGTCTGTCTCTTGTAAAGATAAAGCATGCAAGAAGGAGTCAGGTACTTTCGGGGGCGATATAATAAACCGAAACATCTCCAGCCCACATATGGCAGCAATACTCCATTTTTGATCTGATCTGTCTCTTGTAAAGAGAAAGCATGCAAGAAGGAGTCAGGTACTTTGGGCAGCAACATAATAAACCGAAACATCTCCAGCTTATATATGGCCGCAATACTCCATTTTTGATCTGATCTGTCTCTTGTAAAGATAAAGCATGCAAAAAGGAGTCAGGTACTTTCGAGAGCGATATAATAAACCGAAACATCTCCAGCCCATATATGGCAGCAATATTCCATTTTTGATCTGATCTGTCTCTTGTAAAGATAAAGCATGCAAAAAGGAGTCAGGTACTTTCGGGAGCGATATAATAAACCGGAACATCTCCAGCCCAGATATGGCAGCAATACTCCATTTTTGATCTGATCTGTCTCTTGTAAAGATAAAGCATGCAAAAAGGAATCAGGTACTTTCGGGAGCGATATAATAAACCGAAACATCTCCAGCCCAGATATGTTAGCAATACTCCATTTTTGGTCAGATCTGTCTCTTGTAAAGATAAAGCATGCAAGAAGGGGTCAGGTACTTTCGGGAGCGATATAATAAACCGAAACATCTCCAGCCCAGATATGGCAGAAATACTCCATTTTTGGTCTGATCTGACTCTTGTAAAGATAAAGCGTGGAAGGAGGAGTCAGGTACTTTCGGGAGCGATATAATAAACCGAAACATCTCCAGCCCAGACATTGCAGCAATACTCCATTTTTTATCTGATCTGTCTCTTGTAAAGATAAAGCATGCAAGAAGGAGTCAGGTACTTTCGAGAGCAATATAATAAACCGAAACATCTCCAGCCCATATATGGCAGCAATACTCCATTTTTGATCTGGTCTGTCTCTTGTAAAGATAAAGCATGCAAGAAGGAGTCAGGTGCTTTCGGGAGCGATATAATAAACCGAAACATCTCCAGCCCAGACATTGCAGCAATACTCCATTTTTTATCTGATCTGTCTCTTGTAAAGATAAAGCATACAAGTAGTCAGGTACTTTCGGGAGCAATATAATAAACAGAAACATCTCCAGCCCAGATATGCCAGCAATAGTCCATTTTTGATCTGATCTGACTCTTGTAAAGATAAAGCATGGAAGGAGGAGTCAGGTACTTTCGGGAGCGATATAATAAACCGAAACATCTCCAGCCCAGATATGCCAGCAATAGTCCATTTTTGGTCTGATCTGAATCTTGTAAAGATAAAGCATGGAAGTAGGAGTCAGGTACTTTCTGGAGCGATATAATAAACCGAAACATCTCCAGCCCATATATGGCAGCAATAGTCCATTTTTGGTCTGATCTCTCTCTTGTAAAGATAAAGCATGGAGGGAGGTGTCAGGTACTTTCGGAAGCGATATAATAAACCGAAACATCTCCAGCTCAGATATGGCAGCAATACTCCATTTTTGGTATAGTCTGGCTCTTTTACAGATAGAGTATAAAAGTTGGTGTCAGTTTCTTGCTGGAGCCGTACAATAAGCCGGCAATTTTTCCAGCATCTAAATTTCAACCGAAAGTAGTACTTGCTGATCGGTCAATGAATTCCAAATGTTGGGGAGAAATAGTTAATATTACCATTACCATTGTTGCTTGACACCAGTCGTCAAGAACACATTCTTATTCCCAAAAATCTTATAATTAGAGACGTAGACGTTTAGCACCTCGGCGTGTATAACATCCAACCCAGGTGACCGTCCAGTATTTATATGTTTAAGGCCCTTTCTACCTCACTAACGACGGAGATGTCGTGAGCCTTTCTTTAACAGGCTTATTAAGAATGTTATTTAGAAATTCTTCATCCACTGTAGAAATACGATTCAACAGACCATCAAAATGTTTATCTTTTTAATAAGCCATCGGGATCACGAATAAGACTATTTTCAGCTTTTGTGTGAAAAGGCTTCACAAGATAGGATACCTGACTATAACAGATAGATAGATAGATAGATAGATAGATAGATAGATAGAAGGTGAAAGAAAGAAGGAAAATATAATGCGATAGAAAGAAAGAAAGAAAGAAAGAAAGAAAGAAAGATAGAGAGAAAGAGAATGAAAATGTATTGTCATTGATAGATAGATAAATAAATAAAAGAAAAAAGAAAACAATGTGAAAGAAAGAAAAAAATGTAATCTGATAGAAAGAAACTAAATATAATGTGGTACAAAGAAAGACAGAACGAAAATATGTGATAGATGGATAAAACGAAAGAAAGAAAGAAAAATTATAATGTGGTACAATGAAAGAAAAAAGAAAGAAAGAAAGAAAGAAAGAAAGAAAGAAAGAAAAAAGGAAAATATTATGTGATAGAAAGAAAGAAAAAAATATAATGTGGAACAAAGAAAGAAAAAAGAAAGAAAATACAATGAGATAGATAGATAGATAGATAGATAGATAGATAGATAGATAGATAGATAGATAGATAGATCTTTTAGGTATTGCCGGTTTATAAGTAGATAAATAAAATGATTACCTAAAAAGAACATAAAAATATTCTACCATCCATTGTAAGCTTAGTCCAACATCTTGGCATTAAAACCGACTGTATGTAAATAAGGGAGAGAGACAACCAAATATCTTAGCTACTAAATCGTCCTAGAGATAGAAATAAATTACTCTTGATTAGATAAACATTGAAATTGAAAGTAATTTCGACAAATATGTCTTCGTAATGAATATTTCATGAGCCAAAATGGTAGTCGACCTTTCGAGCGAGTCCTCATGTTGGATATTTTGGTTGTGATCGCATTTAGATTTCCTGAAAGCAAATGTAAATGTACATGTAAGCAATCCATTATAATATGACAATTAAATAAATATTTTGAACAGGAGTAGAAGGTTTATCCTTTATTCACTGCTTAGAATTGTGTTTCAGATTACTTCTAAAGTATTTTCATTCTCTTTCACTTCCAGTATTCCCTTGCGTCTTAGTGGCATTATCGCCTTGCTTGGGGTGAACTATTTTTTAAAAAATCCATAATTTGAGATCATTGAAAACAGGCACATAATCAGGCTCCAAAAATTTGGAATTCCCATCGTCTTCGCAAAACCATTTTTTAATCTTTAAGTGTTTATCTTCTTAGTAAAAAAAAAATGATTTTTTTTTTTGTAATTTGCCTGTTTTTTGTTTTGAAACGAATTGCGTAAATTTTATTGTGTGCTGTCTAATATTAATTCGTAAATTAAAATCAACTTCAGTCGCAGTAGCACTGAGATTTTCTCACACACAACACCTGATCTCATCCCTCCAAAAAAAAAGAAAAAAAATTAGCTTAAAGAGAAACAGTTGTTCTGGGTCATCAAGCAAGATGTCTTTCATTTTGTTTTTTTTTAACTAATTTATATATATGTATATATATATATAAAATATATTTTACATGGATTTCTAGATTGTATTTTACATTTATATTATTATATATTTTTTTATTTCTATCTGGTTTATTTCTACATATATATATATATATATATATATATATATATATATATATATATATATTATATATCATTTATTTTAGTTTTAGTCTATTTGGAGCTGGGGTATTTTTTTTTCTTTTATATTACTATTTATTTTTATTTATGTACTTTGCTCTTGTTTTTCTCTATTTTTTTTAAACTAGAATAATTTATTTTCGCTTATAATTCCATGAAAGGAAACGATAAAATCGTCCCATCTGTTGCATAATAACGGTTCTTTCAAGAAATTGACACCGGCTTCTTATTTGTATTTTTTTCCTCTGTGTGTGTGTGCGCGCGCACGTGTATGTATGTATGTATGTATGTGTGTGTGTGTGTGTGTTTCTTTATTTATTGTGAGAAGTGTATTTAGTTGGTTATCAAGTCAGATTTGTTTTAAAGGCTGACATCGGTAAGGTTGTTTAATTTAATGACATATCAACCCTTGGTGCGTTATTTAACGTCGAATACAGTCGTATAGGATAAAAATCCCCATAAAACCTCCGTTATATATAAACTCAATTGTCAGCCCCAAAACAAAGCAAAACGAATATTTTTCAAGGGGTTTTTCAATTATTTTTTTATATTGTACTCTATTCAAAACATCTTTTTTTGCATTTAAATGAACAATATATCAGTAAAAAATGATTATTATAAATCATATATGGCAATATTTCGGGTAGATTTAGCTCGTTAGCCCGGGAAGGCAGTTCATCTAGGGAAAGAAAAACCCTGATTTTAAACTTCAGCTGCCTTATGTTCATATCCAAAGACGGAAAAGAATATGGAAGTAAATTCCTACAGAAAATCCGGAGTGGAGCCTTGAAGGCGGTTGGATGTCAATACTGACAACCTTCCGGCAACTCCTGCAGTCAAGCCGGCCTCAAGTGTAATGTCCTGTGTTCCTTTGGTCTTTAGGCGTCTTGTGATCTGTGCAGCACGCGGCCTCCATATACCATCGCCCAGACTTGGCTTCTGGAGAGATCACTCCAGATTCACCGCCAAAAATACAAATATTTAAGTAAATGCTCTGTTTATAATAAACAGTATTAACGATATTTACCGGCCTGAATGTCCGAGAAATTTTCATAAAAAATATGCGTCCACAGTAAAATCGACCTTGCTAACCGAACGCTCCTCTGTGGCGAAATCGGTAAAAGCACGTCAGGCTATATGACGGTTCCGTATAGGATACAGGTTCGATTCCTGTCGGAGGATGCATATTTTCTATGAAAATTTCTCAGACATCAAAAATGTTATAAATACGGTTTATTATAAAAACAGAGCATTTACTTAAATATTTGTATCTATAAAAATAATGTATAAACATAAAAATGTCTTAAAATAATTGTCGGACTTTGTCCATTTCATTATGTGTGACGTCATTTGGATAATAATTGAGGAGATATGAATGTACGTGAGAGAATCATGAAGATTGTAGTTTAAAAGCAGTAAAATCGACCTTGCTAACCGAACGCTCCTCTGCGGCCCAATCGGTTAAGGCACGTCAGGCTATATGACGGTTCTGTATAGGATACAGGTTCGATTCCTGTCGGAGGACGCATATTTACTATGACAATTTCGCGGACATTCAGGCCGGTAAATGTTGTTTAATACTGTTTATTATAAACAGAGCATTTAATTAAATATTTGTAGCTATAAAAAAAGAATGTATAAACATAAAAATGTCTTAAAATAAAATTTAAAAAATAAAATTGTCTTTAACTGTCTGCCGAAAATAGCTGTAAACAGGACTCACCTAACCAGGCAATACACTACAGTCTATTAGTGAAGAGAGGCGCAATAACCGATGCCGTGGTGTTAGGAATAGTACCTTTGATGATTAACGACTACGAATCCACACCGAATACCGTGCACCCTTTGCAGCAATCCATGATCTGATATGGTGTGTGGCAACAATTCTGAATTGGGACGTGATTTGATGCAATGTTCTACTTCGTTTAGGGATCACTATGCTTATCAGTACCTGGGGGGTCCCCGTTCTTGCATCACATTTGGGCGCCGACACTTTTCACGTTTCTGAAATCCACACGTTCTTTGTATACTCATGCTACTGTTGCCCGACAAAAATTTAGAACAGCTACGCTACATCTTTACTTATTACATTTATTATATAAATAATACGAATGAATTCATTTCTACAGTTTGAGAAGGACATAACTGTCCAGTCTACCGGTGTCTCTAATTTTTTGTATTTCCAAGCATGAAATAGACTGTCGCCATTCGATGTTGACGTCAGTGTTCACTCATTCATTCATATATATATGTGTGTGTGTGTGTGTGTGTGTGTGTGTGTGTATAGGCCGTTCGCTACCCAAGGCTATATGACCCAGTCTGTCCTGCTATTTCCCCATAGCTTGGAGGGGGAGAAAAGATGGATTCATACCTTTCCCAGGATTATTAGCACGTAATTGAATGTAATAAACTCGACTGGAATTCGAACTCGACTCGATGGAGTAATGGATAGCGGCTCGGATATATATATATATATATATATATATATATATATATATATATATATATCTCACAATATAATTATAAAATTTGCATCAAAGACACAAACGTTATAAAAACACAGTGCTCAATGCAAAACCTAAAATATACAACACAGAGCAAAGTTCAACTTTATATATATTGTCATCCACAGACAGACTGTTTGGCAGCTCATCAGTGTTGCTAGACGTCTGGTTGCCTCTAGCTAGGATCGAAACCCGACCGAATTGGCGTCAGTTGGGGGATTCTACCTCTAAGCCGTCGGCGCACGGTATGGATGAAAGTGAATTTAAGCGTATTTATTTTTAAATAAACTCACAGTGACTGAGAGAACTCGATTCGATTTACCGAAGAGTCATCCATTATTAGCCGTAATAGTCACTGTTTACAAACCCACACTTCCTCCCCAGAAAGCTCAACCGAAATAAATTTTTCAGTATATATTTGCACATATATATATATATATATATATATATATATATATATATATATATATATATATATATAAAGGTATTCAGCACAGCTGACCACTCTGTATATATGCATATATCTGTATGTTTAAATTTAGTATCATTAGGCAGCAATTATTCTTCTAAAAAGGTTTTATTAAAACTCGACAGATATTCTACACGTATTGAATTTATCCCTCGTCCTTTCTATAGTGCGAATCGTCTTCCGTCATCCTGGTTTCTGTAGATGCAAAATTCATCCGAAATCAAAGCTCCGTCTAACCTTTCGACTCACATATTCTGCAGTAGCCTTCGTCATTCTTATCAAGTCATACGTGCAGGTTGTTCAATCTGGCTGTTCATTTCTAGAAGCTGAACAGTTGAACTCTCGTAAAGCGGCGTGAGAGTCCATCATATGTATAAGAATGTGTGTAGGCATTATTCACACACACACACACACACACACACACACACACACACACACACACCTATACACGCACGCATAAAATACACATTATACGAGAGAAACAACAGCTTATTTGTAACCTAAAACGGTATTTCGCCTCTACTGTGACCCTCTGACGGATCATCTTTTCATACAGAATATTTTTTTAAAGAGTAGGAAGATTTATTTGAGCTCGATAATCGAAACACAACGTTTTTTTTTTTTTTTATCTTTATTGTATGACCTTATGCAGCTCCTGCTTTGAAACCTGACCGTCATGGTGTGTTCACCTGTCACCAACGGGTCAACGGTCAATGATATTGTCACTGGATATGTACCCAGATCAGCTACAATCTCTACATAATCCATCCTCGGTTTAGATTCTGGGACAAGACCTACCACCCCACCAATCTTTGTGGTCTTCTTTTTTTTTCTTCTTCTTTTTTTTTTTATAGGTTCCAGAACGTGATCGAATTAACGTGTGGCGCCATATGGAATACCTTGTGTTTCACAAATCCGATGGAAACCGATTGATCCTAATTTTGAGGAGCATGTTGCGAGCACTGA